ATCAATCAGTCAATCATGATCGTGTCCAACCAATCAATCATACAATTTACTTAGCAAGTGTATCAAGTCAATAGAAGAAAAAAAATAGTTTTGACTGCTTGCCATGTCCCTGAAGGATAAGCAAAAAAATAAAAACAACAAATGCTTGATTTTACCAGTCATAACTTATGAATTACAGTAGAAGTTTAGACAAGGGAATGATTATGATTTATGAATATATAATTTAATATATATATATATATATATATTAGAACAAAAACACTGATACACAGAACAATGACAATGCACAAGGACTCACAGAGGTTAAGCACCCTTCTCAAGGACACAAGGGCTCTGGTCAAAGGAAATGGCCTGTGCAGGAATCTGTGTCACCCTGTTAAGAGCGCAGGTCCGTCCTGCAGCACCGCACACACTTGGCCTTGTACATACAGATGAATCTTCAGCGTTCACATTTTCAGCTCCACATTTGGCCTCATGTCCAATAAAACCTCCTTGTCTGGGAAAATTATGGCCCAACCAATCAGTGTCAGCTGTAACTGGGGACGGATCAGCTCGAGTTTGCAATGCGAAGATCTGACAATGACAACGACAAAACCACCGCTGAGGAAGCCATCGTAAAACCCACTTTAGCACTGGGTTTTACAGATCCGACAGTTGATGCAGCATGAAATGAGCGGGATTAAAACATTAAACATAAATCTTGCTGGATGCAAGTAATTCAACTGCTGCTAAACAATCTCGATCCATCTTCTGATTTGAACTACTTTTCAAGGTCAGACAGCACTCAAGGGACCAAAAAAAAAAACATAAAAGTTCTCAGGAAATGTTTGAATAAATAAGGTTAACTCATAATCTGTGGCCTTACAAATAAACATCAACTATTTCCACTAAATAACCACACTAATAAAAACACATACCAATAGGGAATGTCAGTGTTAAAAAAAATGAAACGTTGTAGGATTTACTTTGAAACAATTTTAACTAGTAATTTAAAAAATAAACAAAAATTGCTAGTAAATTTCGTACAATTACAGTATTGTATTAATATTTTGAATTAGCTTATATTTCATAGAATAAAAAGTTTTCATTTTATTTTGTTATTTTTTTTTATATGAGCTTTTATCATTTTGATTAGTTTTTGGTTTTTGATATGTCTAATTATTTTTATTAATCATTATTATTTAAGTTTTAGCACTTAATTTCCAAAGCAACATTTTAGTTTTTCATGTAATATTTATTTAAGCTTTATGTCAGTTAACAAAATATATTTTTTAAATAGTTTTAGCTTTAGTTAGCAATAATAACACTGATCTTAAAGTTTTGAGTTATTTAAAACTTCAAAATACAAACAAAAATCTTTTTAATTCCATTAATATGGAGTAAACTATTTCAAAATGATTAATTCTGATGGTTACACATCTGTAGTAGTCACAATGCGTCAGAGGGTTGAATACAAATGATCTAAATCTACTAGTCTCCATTGAGTTGAATTACTGTAGGGCTTTTCCGATATACATTCCCTAAATGTGAGATACGCTTACAAAAAGTCCTGTCTATAAAGTTCTGCATGATGCATGTATTCTCCTTTGGGGTGAGCTAAATGGTATTTCTTTCTGTCTTTCCCTCCCTCTTTCTTTTTCTGTGAGTGCATTGATGTTCATGGCTGGTTGAGCTGATGTGTTCTGGCATTTTCTTTTCGCTGGTTTGGGAATGTCCTGCTCACACCATACAGGATGGCTAGAAAACACACACACACACACACAGAGTGCAGAAATGAGGCCCTATGAGGAGGCACAGTTGCAGAAAAACAGATACACATGAATGAGGTACATTCATGTTAAGAAATGTAACTGTAGCCCAAAAACATCACTCAAGTTTGAGTATCTATAAATCTTTAACACAATGCCTGCTCCTGTTTCACATAATCATACAGTAGGTGTCAATTTGTCCCACAACAATGGGGATTTATCTGCTACAGAGGAAACATTTCCAGTTGTCAAGCTTAGGTTTCATTTTGTTTATGCATGGTGAGTCAGTGCTGGAATTTGTTATTTGTAAGATTTTGCCGAGTGCTCAATGAGGTTGTTATCAGTAGCAGAAAGCATCAGCTTTTTTTTCTGCATCTGACTATCTATTGTACTAAAATCACAACACAAAATTCAAACAAATGTGCCGCCACTCCTGATATACATCCACTGATGTACAATTGTGCTTTTGGTTCATTAAAACAGAAAGATTACAAAAAATGCCTGATAACACTTAAACGAAGGATGTCAACTTTTTCCAACTCAGGAATCTCTTTCTAAACTGAACAAAATTATAATTATGCAGATGAGCTTTCACTGTACAGGGCAGATGGCAGACAGCGCGTATGGCGTCGTGTGGGTGAGCGGTTTGCTGATGTCAACGTTGTGGATCGAGTGGCCCATGGTGGCGGTGGGGTTATGGTATGGGCAGGCGTATGTTATGAACAAGTGTGTGTAAAGAAGTTTTTGTTTTTTAAAGTAACGACCAAGCGGCCAGCGGCAGACAGTGAGTTGATCAGTTTAGCTTTCTCAAATCACGACTTGCCTAAAATAAAATCTATACATATAAAACAGTTCAAGCATATCACAATGTTAGTTTAAATGTTTAACATATATAAATGTGCCCTATTAGACGCATATCTAATCGTTTGTGCGGAGAGCTAAAGCGCGCTTTACTGGACATGGAGGCGCTGGCGCGATCACTTGCATTGGAAACAACGTAAAATATGCCGTCATTTTTCCTCATAAAGGTCAGAGTAATACATCACTCGGAACTGTAAAGGGTCTACTTTTATTTGTGTGCACTCACAATATCAACAAAAAGTTGTGCTTTTGTAAAATAAAGGATACATACAGGACACGCTTTCTGCAATTTCGGGCAGGAGCGTTTCACAATGATGAACCAAAACTCAGCGAATACTTGCCTCACAGACTTGCTAAATATATCTATAGAAAGCTTTAAATTACTACTTTAAAACTAAATAATTCAAATAAAAAACAAAAACTCTTTTTACGGATTTTATAAATATCCGTAAAAATGCATTTCTCTCTAAAGGCGCGTCCAACGAGGAGATGGCAAGTCAGGATCGTCATCTTCATCTTTGCGACATGGACTAAGAAAACACTAATTTATTAATAAATAATTCAAATATCTCCTTACTATTTCCCCCCGACACATTCATGGTAATTACTTCTGCTAGGGCTTTGCGGCACGCTTTAGCCTATTGCGTGCGTTTTTTGCTGTCATGTGCAAGGATATGTTGCATAGGTGATGTATAATATTTATAATATAATCAATATAACAATATTTCATACAGTAGCCTACATGTGCTCTGCGCGTATATGGGCACAATAAAAGGACAGGAGCTAAATGAGCCTGAGTCCGACACGAGTCCAATCTGTAAAAATAAATAAATAAAATGGCCCGAGCCCAGCCCGAATGGACTCAGCATGTCAGGTCCCATCGGGACACGACGGGCTTGCAGGCCTTTAGTGTGGATTACTTGTGGATTGTTATGATGTTTTTATCGGTTATTTGTACTCTCACTCTCACGGCACCCATTCACTGCAGATGACTGATTGGTGAGCAAGTGATGTATTGCTACATTTCTCCAAGTCTTCATCTATATCTTGGACAGCCTGAGTAATTTTTCATTTTTGGGTGGACTATTCCTTTAAGAGAGGTGTTTACAAAGAACGCCTTTCACTTGCATTCCTTCTGAGCAGTTTTTCATTTTTAATCTCTCCAACCACAAAAACATGGTCATGCCATACTCATAATTACGACCAACTCTAATGTGACCTGGCAACCTCTGACAGTATGAATGCTCCTTTACACGTCATAATAGACAGATGCCCAAGTGAGTGAGTGGCCTCTCACTCTCTCTCTCTCATGTACTCACACACTTTATCACTCTGACATCTGGTGCTTTTCACGAATATAATCCCTCTTCCCTTCCCGAGCCTTGTGCTTCCCAACAAGGACAACAAGATGGTCTCTATCTATCTATCAATCAATCTATCTATCTATCTATCTATCTATCTATCTATCTATCTATCTATCTATCTATCTATCTATCTATCTATCTCATTTGAAGGACAGCTAGTTAAATCAAATAGGCACAACATCTAATATTGAATAACAGGCAGCCTACTTTTGACAAAAGTAAAAACAATAAAACGGTAGGCCTATCTATAAACAGCATAAATGTATACATTATGAACAGGTGGACATAGCATCTAATGGACCATAAATGCAAAATGGCAATATCCATCTGCACATGTTTCCTTCAATACTTCATCTCTTTAATCTTTAGCCATCTTGAGCCACCTGCCACAGCCGAGCGCGCGCTCATCTGGACATCAAAGCGGATTTGGTGCGGCCCGCCACTTTCATGCCGTTACACACAGCAAGCATCAAGTATTGACAACCCATCTACACCTAGCGACGCGACATAAATGGAACGCTGGTGTTATAATGAACGAATGTCGATATCTGCGCTGACATTAACTAAAAAAGAACCGACTCACTCTGGAGTCACTCGGACGAAACTGGCGTGATTCACTAAAAGGAAAGGGGCTGATAAGAGTCGTTCGTTTAGAACGCTTCTATGGTGCTCAGCGGAAATAATGCACTACAGAACCGTTCACGAACGTGATTAAAATCATTTAGTTTCAATGTTTTAAAAATGGAAGCCGTTCTGAAAAAGAACCGGTTCTCGGTTCTCAGCGACACTAATATGCATAAGGCCTACAAAGTCATTTTATCTACACGCTCGTACGAGGAAATTCATGGGAAAACGCACGACATTGTTAACGAAACATATTTATTTCGACAAAGCCAAGTGTTTCGCCATATAATATCAACAATTCCAAAGCCATGTGTGCTTATGTGATCATTGAAGATCTGCTATAGCAAGGGGGTGTGTGGAGGGTGTGATGAGACATTTAAAGATCGGTGGGTGTGATACTCACTCGCTTTGCCCTGTTTGGGTCTCTGGAGGAGCCGCTGGACGGTAATCAGATCCTCCGTCTTCACCGCCTGCAAGAGTTCCTGTTCTTTTCCCATCCTGTTCAATCACACACTCAAGTACCCTCTCTCACGCATGCAGTCATGGATATACTTCTACATCCAGCGCATCTTCAGGGGACCAGGGGACCATAACGGTGCCGTTAACGCCAGCGCATCCTCGCCGTACATCGTAAAAAGGTCGAGTGCGCAGAGACGCGTAAGACGCGTTTACATGCCCAGTGGAGTGACCAGTGGCGTCCACGCAGTTCCTAACGACGAAAAACGGTGTTATTGCGTACTGAGGTGACAGAATCCAGTCGTTTCCAGGTTAAAGAGACGGCGCGGAAACCTTGCGCGTATTTACGCACGGTGACATGGTTGTACTGCTACAAAAATAGCAGATGCTCTGTAAATCAAAACGGAAGGCGTCTCTTTGAGCTCATAGAGAGACCGTATATATTACGTAAACATCCAGGCAGATGTGCGCGCCCGCTGGAGGTTGTAATCCGCTGTCGCTTTCTCTTTCTCATGTGCGCATGTATGTGTGTATATGTGTGTGTGTGTGTGTGTGTCTGTGTATGTATGGCAAGCCGTTTTAACATTAATTCTTTAAAACTAACGTATAGATTTTATGTTGCTTTACATATTTTAATACTAAATAACACACTAGTGACTACAATCTTTGTTCAGTTTTACCAGAATACACACTATTTTCTAACAGGTACTCTCTATTTACTTCGTACTAGAAAAACTAGAACAGTTACTAGTGAAACTGGAAAACAATTTTTTTAAGTGATCGTTAACCCAAAAATGACAATTAATTAATGTAATTAATTACCCACCCTTATGTCGTTCCAAACCTGTAAGGCCTGGGACACACTTGACGATTTTCAAATCTTAAACGATTTTAAAACCATGGGAGACCACAGACATGAAGACAGTTCAACTGATTTTTAGCCTTATAATCCTCTGAACGCACACACTAGACGATTCGACCAGACCACGAGACCACACACTTGTCGATTGTAGGAACGATTTCACAGTGACACGTGATCTCACAGACACTCCCGAGATCAAACGTGACTAGAGAAAAAAAACAAATAGTGGACAATTAACGTTGTCAGCTGGCTCTCCTGGCACGCGTTCTTTTTCACAGTGAAAAACAAAGTACAACAAAGAATATGGGTGATGTTCTCTGCTTTCATGTCATGTTTGTGGCTGCCAGGTTTCAGCTATAGAAGCACACGATATCCGGTAGGTGACGCTTGCTCGCTCTCACTGGCTATCACGTCAGAGGCAGCCCGATCAAGAGTCATAAATATCAAACATGTTTGATTTAATTTGATTTGAGTTCGGGGACGCTCCGTCTCGATCGGGAGCAGATAAATAATCATAATGACACCACACAATAGAGGATGTTTTGGACAAAAAAATCATTTGTGACAAGCCGCGAATCGGGCCACACCCCCCGATCGTTCGGGGATGCAAATCTGGCTTAAAATCGCCCTTAAAATCGTTGAGTGTGCGGCTAGCCTAAAACCTTTGTTCATCTTTGGAACACAAATTAAGATATTTTTGATTAAATCTGAGAGCTTTCTGACCCTCCATAGACAGTAATGCATGCAACTACCACGTTCAAGGCCCAGAAAGGTAGTAAGGACATTATTATGTGCGCAAAGAAAACAAAAATAACGACTTTATTCAACTGACATTATTATGTCATTTATAACGACTTTATTCAACTGACAGATATTCGTTCTGACATAAAACCCAGATGAGCTGTGCCTAGTTTACAAGCAGAGGAAGATGCACACTGTACATAAAACAGTCTTCGTAAACATGTCTAAAGATTTCGACAGAGAGGATGACTTGCAATTTTTTGCCCAGCCTTATTTATTCGAACCATAATATACAAATTATGAACTAAGTGAGATGGATTTTCTAAGTCAGAACGCTGGTTCCTACGTCAGCAGCACCACACGCATGTGTCCAATGATAAAAATATTAGGCAGCACAACAGTTTCAACACTGATAATAAATCAGAATATTAGAATGATTTCTGAAGGATCATTCTGAAGACAGGAGTAATGATGCTGAAAATTCTGCTTTGCTTCACAGGAATACATAATATTTTAAAGTATATTAAAATAAGAAACCAATATTAGACATTGCAATAGCCTAATAGTTCACAATATTACAGTTTTTTTCTGTATTTTTGATCAAATAAATACAGCCTTGATGAGCATAAGTGACTCTATTAAAAAACAAGGTCAATTATTTATTAGGTTTATAACATAGGCCTAACATAATATAATATAATATCAAAACAAACTGAAGCATTTAAACTGATAGAAGAGAATAGAAAACAAACTGAAGCATTTAAACTGAGATCTGCAAGTTAAATATTTTCAAAGAAAAAAAATCATGAACGTGAATTCCTCTATAGCTATCTAAACATTCCTATGAAGTACAGTTTGCACAATACACCTGTGTGTGACTGTAAATGTCTCTTGAGTTTTGTTACCATTCTGTGCTCATCATCCGCTATTTCAAGCACTTAATCAAGCCACTCTTCTTTAAAACATGAGGACGTTTTATTTCACGTCATTGCGTTTGCTCTCGATTTGAGCTATTTCGTCCGCAACCACTGAAGTATTCGGTTTCTACAGCGACTCATTTGGCGCACATCATTCTCTTTCTATAAAACCTGTAAACCACATTCACCGGTTCTAACTAGCGACATCAACTTTATAGCGGTTTACCCGATCATTGCAATTCTTTCGTTTTTACTAGAATACAATCAAATGGCTTACCCTACTCATTTTTGGAGAATGGTATAACTGCAGCCTGGAGATCTCCAAATGGGTGCGGGAACTCCAAAATGGGGTGGGAGATTTAAAATAGGGCATGGCTTCCTCCCACTGACAGACAGGCACATGACATCCCCCCCCCCCCCCATTCCACTTCAGCACAAACTCCACCCCACAGCTGATTCTAAAGATTTTATTGGTTAATTAAAGTGTTGTTTTCCTACACTATGCTACAAAAAATGCTAACCCCTAAACATGCCCCACACCTGACCCTAACCTTAACAGTGAAATGGACTGCACGGCGGGATTGGCGCTGAATAGCATGGTAAAGAAAGTTGCAGTTCAGGAGATAAACAGTTAATAAGACTATGCTATAGGAGATCGTTCTGTAACTTCCCAACCGGACCTCACCGGACAAGGGCACCTTTTTAGTTACGCCCAGCATCACTACCCCCTCCTACCCTGCGAATTTCGTGCCCCGGGACGCCCCCATTGCTTGGAACAAAGCGATAGAGATTAAAGTATTTCCCCTGCGCTGCGCTGGGACGGCTCGTGGGAGAGCTCGTGGGTGATTCCCGTTTACATCATGAAGCAGAGTTTCAAACTCCAGTCCGAACACCACTGGCCACGAGCTTTGGGCTCTGCTCTCACAGTGAATATTTATTTATATAGCATTGTGACGAGAGGGGCGGGGCCGAGAGCCATGGGAACGGAGTTTTATTTTGAACCGCCAAACATTCAAACAAAACTTTACTAATAAAATAAACACAAAACAGCGCGACATCCCCTCGCGGACGACTGTGGCGTGCAAACAGAACCAAAACACAAAATAAAACCCAGGCCTGGTCCTCTCTCGTCTTTCACTGTCGTAGCTCCTTCTTTTATCCTTCCGGAGCTCCTCCGTGGGACTAGAGACCGGTGAGTGGCGCAGGTGTCGCGCATTAGCATTTACTCCACCGGCCTCGCTCCGTTCCCACGGCTCTCGGCCCCGCCCCTCTCGTCACATATTTGATTTTAAATGAACTAGAAACAATGTTTAATTTATAAAGTTTTATTTTGAAATGTAAGTCAATAACAATTGGCTGAAGCCACAGCCAATGGTGAAAGTCTTTGCACAAGGAGACCGCGCCCCATTTTGGAGGTTCTGCCCACTTTTGGAGTCCACGCCCCATTTTGGAAATCTCCGGCCTGCAGTTATACCTACTCGGATTTTTGCGTCTGCGCAGCACATCATTTCTTCAGTGCAGCCGCGGTGGAAGAAGAGCGTGGCCGCGAGTGCGCAGCTTAGAGGGAACATTGCATGTGTCGTGGTGAATTCTCGTTATTAATGTTCCAACTAATGGAATTGTGGCCCTGAAACCAATTCATCTATTTCAGTTCAAATCAATGCTAACTTACTTAACATACAAATTTAATAAACAAGTAAAACATTACTTGTCACTGGCATTAGCGCATCGTTCATAGAGTCAATTCATTGTATGCTTTCATATAGCCACCCACAACCTTACTATGAGAGCTACTTTTAGCACAATGTTACCCCAAAAACTTTAACGTAACAGAAAGGTTTAATTACAATACATTGGAATTTTTAAATTGCAATCATTTATTTAAGTTGTAATAGTTCCCCTGAATTTCTTCTTTTAGTGACTAATTTAAAAAAGAACACTAATCACTACTGGATGCCTTACTAGTAATTAAAAAACTAGTAACGTAAAAAGAAATTAAATGAAATAAATGATAAAGCAGCTTGCCATAGCATGTGTGTGAGAGAGACTGCTTGGTTAAATTGGTGGTGCTGCATCAGTCAGGGGCCATGACTAAATAGACCCTTTTCTATGAGCCTGACAGATTAAAAAGGAGGAAAGCAGTGTGTGCTGTATTTGTGTGTGTGTGAGCGAGCATGTTTTTGAGGAGAAAGGTCACAGGACAGATTTTAGCAGGGTAGATACTGACCATGTACGCTTAGCCAAAGGCACATGGTCCTCTAAAGAAAGAGGGGAAATAGCACACTGTTATATGAATATCCGACCTTCTTTCTTATATTGAATATTCTACAATGTTCACGCAGCTTTTTTTTATACTGTCCACCACATGGTCCAAAAACGGTATGGCTTCAGAAATCAAATACAGCATACAAGGCATCTTTTTTGGAGCATGATAGTCCCTGGTCAAAATATACCTTCATTTTATGGAAAAGAGCTCAAAAATTCTGTAAAAGATCTTCTTGTGTTTTCCACATAATTGTAATTTCGTTTTGGGGAAATAATATGTGAGCTGTTCCTTTAAATCTCACTGGTGGCCCTCAGACACTGATAGCCATACTAATTATTATCATATAATTTAACCACTCCCATTCTCTCTATCTGTCATTTCAGCCATAATTTTGGTGACAATCTTACAATTAAAAGTCTGTGATACGATACATTACTCCCTAAGGGTGTCAGCAAAACCGGAGCAGATGTCTAATTTGGGCTCCATTCTAACCCCCATCAGTCAGTGGGTAATTGGCCGTTCTTTACTTATTTTGCACTGTCAGCTTTAAGGACTGCAGTGGTTACATTTATACTCATTTATTTGCAAGGTAAAACTTGTTATCCGAATTACCTGCAGGGAGATTCCTCTCCTACCAGTTCCCTGCTCTCGCCAACCTGGATCTGCTACATTTGTGTTTATCACCCAGAACATTAATCACTAGTTCACCAACAGTTTACTCCTGGAGATCTACCTGCAGAGATTAGCTCCAACTCTAATTAAACACAACTGAACCAACAAATTCAGCAGGTGTGTTGACTGGGCTGGAACTAAACTCTTTCAAAGGTAGATATCCAGGAAAAGCACCGAGATACAGTAAGGGATCTCTTCTATTTTCAGTGCAATGTACCATAATGCATCCAGAAACCGATTTGTTTATTTTATTAATATTATTTTATTATTATTAGATATTATTTTTGCCATTTTAATATTCCTAATGCAGATTCTCATTAGATTCTCATTACTATAGTACAAAGATTATGCATTAATGCAGTACAATACTGTAAAAACTGATTTTTTCTGATGTTGTAAAACAAGGATTATTGAATTACGTATAACAAGAAAATACAATTTCAGACTTTCTTCTGTAAAATCCCATGTTTAATTAATTCAGTGTGTGACTTACTTTTTCTTTATAATTAATTTTGAAATTATGTTATCTCTGTTATAATTTAAATTCACCGTTTGTTTTTTTAATACCATAATAATCACCTTTAGCATGCAAGCTACCATTCAAAAGTTTTTTTTTTTAAAGAAATTAAAGAAATTCAGCAAGGGTGCATCAAATTGAGCAAGAGAGTCCGTAAAGACTTTCACATTGTTACAAAATAATTCTATTGAAGATAAATGCTGTTCTTTTCAACTGTCTGTTCATCCTAAAAACCTGACAAATGGTTTTCACCAAAATATTAATAATAAGAGATGCTTCTTGAGCACCAAATCAGTGTCGTAATGACTTTTGAAAATTCAGCTTTACCATCACTGGAATAAATTACATTTTAAAATATATTAAAATAAATATTTTAAATAACAATAATATTTCACAATATTACTCTTTTTACTGTATTTTTTAACAAATAAATGCAGGTGAGCATAAGAGACTTCTTTCAAAAATATATATTAAAAAAAAGTCAGACATTTTTTAATGCCAGAGTATAAAAGAAATAAGTATTAAATTAATAAATAACTCAAATGGGAGACAAAATATTATATACGCCATCATAATTATAGACTGCCAAGTCCAAAATAGCACAATATACTGGAAAGCAATACTAGAATCAGCCAAAGACATTATTTATTCATCAAAATGTATTTCTTAATATGAACTAAAAAGCTTACTGAATAAGCAGCAGAACATACCAATATGCATTCAAATGAATTTACTCTAATAATTAATTAACTTCACCTTGTGTAAATAGTGTTGTATTTCCAAGAAATTAGGTTGCAAACACCCCTGCCACACTGTCAAATAAAGTGCACGCGATGTGAACAGTGGACCTAATTAATACTAAAGGTATCACTAGTGAGTATGCTTATGTCCATGTGTAAGATTGATGCTAATGGTTAGTGCATGTGCATGTGTTAATGGGTAGCACCACTGGGTGTTTAAGTAAATGATTCACTTTAAGTGTCTAGGGATGTTTTTTAGACTCTGTCAGTCACATTAGCTTAGTTAGATCACACGTCTAAATGCACTGATTATTCGATTAAGCATGTATGTATGTATGTATGTATGTATGCGTGTGTGTAGTCATGAATGTTTGTGTCTATATGTGCCGGTGCATGTGTACATCTCTCAACCCACAGCAATGGATGTACATTCAGGGATGTGTTTCATCTGCCTTGTTGTTTTCATGTAAAGTGCAAGCTTGCTTCGTTAAACTGATGTGTTTAATGATCAATTCACACACAGAGCTGACTGACCGGAACACCTTGTGTCTTTCTGTCCTCTTGTTGTCTTAGTCTGTGTGTGGTGTGTGTGAAGGCAGGACATGGCGTCTAACTCTACCACTACATTTTTCGCCCTTTCCCAGTCTTTCAGTGTATCTGATATCATTGTAATCGGAGCATATTTTTTATTGAACGTCGCTGTTGGAATATGGGTTAGTGCATGTGTGCATTAGTGTATTTGGATAATTGTGTGTTTGTATGAATTGTAGATAATAATCATTATTTAAATAATAGTTTAATAATTTTCTGTTTCTCAGAGTGTTTATTTGAAACATAAATCTCAATATTCTGTAAAAACATGGATGTAAACTGTGGAAATAGAAACTATTTCAAATTGAACACTATTCTTACATTATCTATGATGTTAGAGTGAGAAATACCTTACAACTCCATTTCAGTTTTGCATAAATTGTTCTGTGTATGTATGTATGTGTGTTTCAGTCATCTTGCAGAGTGAGCCGAAACACACTAAGTGGATATTTTCTGGCTGGCAGAGACATGGCTTGGTGGCCGGTAAGTGATAATTACTGTAAACTGACCCAAGTAAAGAAATATTAAAATATATATATATATTTTTTTTTTTACTATTTTTGCCTCACTTTACTATAATTAAAGCCTGATAATGAGCAGATAAAATTACCTTTTTTAAAAAAACAGATTATTTGTAATTTTATCTGCTATTGTTTATGTTTAAAAACTACTTAAAATAATAATAATAATAATAATAAAAATCGACCTTGGTTTAGTATGGTTAAAGCCTAAAAATAGACTAATAATGAGCAGATACAATTACAAATAATCAGTTTATTTTTTAATAAAAAAGAAAATAGATTATTTGGAATTTATCTGTTCATTTTTATTTAAAAACAAAAACAAAAAAAAACAATGAAATTAAAACACATAGGTTTTTTTTTTTTTACCTGCTTGTTTTCTTTTATTACAAACAAAACTGCTACCTAAAAAAAAAACACTTTAATTTTAGGTAGTGCATTAATATAAACTATTACAAAGGCTGATCTCAAGGTAAGTTTTTTTATGAATAATGTTGTAAAATGTAGCTTATTTTTTTAAAAGGTAATAGAAAAAAACATGTACATGAACTACTTATTTTCAAAATCCAGATTTTAGGTCAAAATGTATATGTTGAGGTCCAAAAGTCAAACCACAGAAAGTAAAATCTATAAATCAACCAAAGGAAACTGAAAAAAAATGTGTGTGTGTGTGTGTGTGTGTGTATATA